CTAATGCTCCATCACTGTCAGCGTACATCAGCACATGTATGAAGGAGAGAATGGATAAGCAAGTAAAGGTGGCAGCTCTTTCAAATAAATAATTAAATATAGGTGACAGGTTCCTGTTATTTATCAGACATATACTCCCTCCATTCCTAAATATAACTCTTTTTAGAAATGATTGAATCTACACTCTAAAATATGTCTACATACATCCGTATGTTGTAGTCCATTTGAAATGTCTAAAAAGACTTACATTTAGGAACGGAGAGAGTACTTATGTTATACAATGGCAGCATGGTAACGCTGCTTACATTTCTTTCGTCAGCTTAGTTCATGATATCTACGGAGTATTAGCTTTGAACATGCTTTACATTTTGACTTGTGCAACTTCCTAGAAATGATTGATTGCCTGATCTCTAAGCCTGTCGATATGTCCTTAACTTTTACTACGAAATATAATTTTCTGTACTTTTGACAGTTTGACCTGACCAACTTCTTTCAGCTGGCGTCACAAGCATATGTATATTCTTTTCTGCTCTTCACTGGCTATTCCATTTACAGTTACTCTTGCATTGACTAGATAAAACAAATTCATAGTAGGAACGCGTGAATTTTACAGGAATCTGACGAGAAAAAGGACGCCATTCCCAAATTCCAAATGAGCCCCAAGGGGGCAACTTAGACAGAATTCAGAGACGGAAGCTTTCGCCTAACAGAATAGTCAGTAGCAAGCAACAGCATGTTTTGTGTGACCAAAACACCCTAAAAGCATGTTCTACTTCTGTTCAGGTAGTACCTTGGAAGGACAAGTCACAGTTAAGTACCGTTGGTGCAGTAAAATACAGTAAATAAACAAAGACTGCTAATGGAAAGGAAACATGCAGCGGCACATGAAAAAAACGACTCCCTTTGCACAATGTTGCAAAAAATATAGAATATATAGTAGTATATCTTTAGTAAATAAGAAGCAGGAGCTCAAATTCGAGTATACTGCAACATGGCAAACATACTTGATACCAGTGGAAAAATGTGCAGACTGAATGGTGCAAGTACTCTTTGAAAGATTAGTATCGGTCATCTCAAGTGACCTCAGCGCATAAAAACAAAGCATGTCTTGGCCTATCAAGTCAGGGTGATATCGAGTAAATGTAAAACCGACCAGGCAAGTTATCAAAAAGATATACAAAATGCGTGCACCTAAACAACGAGCTAGCTTTAAATAAATGCACAGTGTCCAGGTTCCTTGTCTCACTTGGTCTTCTGCCAATCCATAAGAATACCATATATACCAACATCACACATGTAAAAAACACTCAAGGGCATGTTTGGAATGCAGGAATTGACAAAAAAGTTGTGTTTCAGTATTTTCCATCTTGCTTGCTCGTTCTCGGACTAAACTAAATGTTATATGTAGGTAATAAAATTGAATGAATACCAACCTATGGACATTAAAATCTACTTTGTAACTTTTGTAGTTAATTTCCTTATCATTTTCTCTAAGAAGAGATTTACAAAAAAAAAAGGTCTCAAGGTCTCTCCAGAAGACATCCATACCTATGGGGTGTTCTCTGTGATATCAATTCGTCCTTGCATATAAAACTGCAACCAGTGCACAAAGCACTTGGCAGAGCGCTGAGGGAGCTGCTTATACTTGGAAGTGGGGAAGGGCATCGTCCATCCATCGCCATGGCAACACGGCCGGGCCCTTTGACTGAATGGCCATGGCAGTGGATGGGAAGCTTCAAGGTATGATATCTTGTTAGCTTTTCATGTGTTCCTTTCTGGTGTTCGTTCTGGGTTCAGAAATTAAGCCAATGACACGACCTTAATGAAGAAGCAACAGAACTTCATTTGTGTTCAACTCATATTATTCCTATCCATCAGTACTTACGTTCTTAACCTGATGCCCTATCCATGCACACAGTACCTGGTCTTGGCGCCTGCGGCGTTGCACACTGCGCACAGGGTGGTCACCAAGGGGTGGGGGGACATGAGCCTGGCATACGCCGCCATGTTACCAGCTCTGCTTCTGAGGATGATCCATAACCAAATCTGGATCAGCTTGTCTCGCCACCAGACCGCACGCAGGAAGCACATCATCGTCGACCGTGGACTTGAATTCGACCAGGTGGACCGGGAGAGTTCCTGGTAAGTCTCCACCATAATCACACATGTGCAGATATCTTGTAATGACAAGTAATCCTTGCCGTTCTGTACAGGGATGACCAGATCATCTTCAATGGGCTGTTCTTCTACCTGGCCTACGCAGCCGTCCCGAATGTCAGTCGCATGCCGGTGTGGAGAACAGACGGAGCCATCATCACCGCCTTGCTTCACATAGGACCTGTCGAGTTCCTGTACTACTGGTTCCACAGGGCGCTGCACCACCATTTCCTCTACTCTCGCTACCACTCACACCACCACGCCTCCATCGTCACAGAGCCCATAACCTGTAAGTAATAGCATTCAGAGTAACTTAAGCACAAACAGTGGATCCCACAAAAACCAGTTTCATTACCTTAGTGGCACTGCTCAAGGAATCCAAGAGCTTTGCATAAGAAAAAAGAATGATCACATATGAACCGGGACATATTTACATCCGAAAAAAGGCGCGTGCAAGTCTTTTGCGCCTTCTCGGGCATACTTCTTCTAATACAAACGACATGCTCTTTGATGTGTGCTTGAGAAAAAAAAAACTCTAAAGCTTGTTATGTTCACAATTAGTGTTTCTTCTTTAAAATTTTTTTTAGTGTTTCTGTCTTGAATTCTAACACAAACTTTACCTTATAATTGGCAGCTGTCATCCATCCATTTGCTGAACACGTGGTTTATTTCCTGCTATTTTCGATCCCCATGATGACACCAATTTTTATGGGCTGTGGTTCTGTCCTGGCTGTTGTCTTGTACATCACGTACATCGACTTCATGAACAATATGGGGCACTGCAATTTTGAGCTGGTGCCAAAGCGCGTCTTCCATGTCTTCCCTGCTCTCAAGTACCTCATGTACACTCCCTCGTAAGTGTAATATCTTCACAGCAAAACTTACCATCTCGTCCAGATGATGAGACTTGGGCTAATGAATTCTTACTCAAAGCTGACTAGTGGATTCTATGCACAAGAAGTCAAAATGGTTAGCCATAGCTTCATAGAACCACGGACAAAATTATTTACCGTTATTTTGTCCAACATTTTCACAGGTTTCATTCTCTACATCATACACAGTTTCGTACAAACTACTCGTTGTTCATGCCGTTCTATGACTACATATACAACACCATGGACAACTCAACTGACGAGCTGTATGAGAGAGCACTGAAAGGAACAGAAGAAACACCAGATCTTGTCCACTTGACGCATATGACCAACTTGCGATCGACTTATCATCTTAGGGTTGGGATTGCCTCTATAGCCTCCAGACCATCGGAAAGCCCTGTATGGTATATGTGGATGATATGGCCAGTGGCATGGCTGTCAATGGTACTGGCATGGGTTTATGGATCTTCTGCGTTTGTCGTTGAAAATCACACACTGAAGAAGTTCAAGATGCAAACATGGGCAATACCAAGATACAACTTCCATGTAATGGGTTTTTGGTTCTGTGTGAGTCATATGGTTTAACAGTTTCGCAGGCTGCTAACATCTTATTCCTGTCCAGTATGGCTTGATTTGGGAGAGAGAATCCATCAACGGCTTAATTGAGAAGGCAATACTAGATGCTGATGGAAGAGGGGTCAGAGTGCTCAGTCTAGGACTGTTAAATCAGGCATGACGGCCATACTTTTCTCACATAATTCCCTGTCTGTACTTGCTTTCACATGGCACTTAACTTCTGATCTGATTAGAACATATTCACACACATTGGCAAAACGGATGTAGGGACAACCTTTTGATTACTTCTAACTAGTATATGGATTAATAGGGTATTTTAACAAAAGTGTTGCCAAAGTTTAGTGCACAGCACACACACAAACTGGGCAGGGAAAAGAGTTAATCCCTTGTTGCTGGTACAGGCAAAACAACTCAATGGAGGTGGTGAATTATTTACAAAAAAATATCCAAAATTAAGAGTTCGACTTGTTGATGGAAGTGGCTTAGCAACTGCAGTGGTGCTCAAGAGCATCCCTTTAGATACAAAGCAGGTTTTTCTTTGTGGAAGCAGTTCTAAGGTAGCCCACGCCACAGCTACAGCTTTATGTGAGAGAGGTGTCCAGGTACCCATCCGGCTGCTCTTTTCTTGAATTCATTTGTTAGCTCATATTATGTCCATTAAAAATATTGGCTCTAATTGTACTCCAAATATTGCAACACTCAATTTTGTGTGTAGGTAATCATGAACCAAAAGAAGGAATATGACATGCTCAAGTTGCGAGTTCCAGAGAGCAGCACTGGCTATCTGAAATTCTCCAGTGATGAAATACCCCGGGTAAAAGTTATCTGGAAACAGGGATCGGAACCCCAAATGGAAGTGGTGAATTATTCACATAATTTTGGTTGTTAACATAGTATTGCTATATCACCCACCAACAAATGATAAGAAATTACTCGGAAGACCAATGTAACTAGCATAGTAAAGATAAGAAATAACTAAAGGAGCAACGATAAGCAGAGTATTCATGATTACTCCTTCACTACAACAGATCTGGATAGGAGATATCATAGACGATAAGCAACAACGGAGGGCACCAAGTGGAACAATATTTATTCCTACATCACAGTTTCCCCTTAAGAAGACACGCAAGGATTGCACCTACCTGGGTAGCCCAGCAATGAAGATCCCGGAGACAATGCAGAACGTTCACACCTGTGAGGTACTGACAATATGTTATCATTACCTGTTTGAGTAAATTTTGAGCTAAGCAAAATACGACTATTTAATGTACACAAACTGTTTACCTAACATTTGAATAGGCCTAGATAGTGTGATCCACACTGACATGTGTTGCTACTCGCCATGTGAACAGAATTGGCTTCCAAGAAGGGTGATGAGCGCATGGCGCATTGCCGCGATAATACATGCTCAGGAAGGTTGGAACATGCATGAGTGCGGAGATGATATGATGGACATCGAAAAGGTTTGGTCGGCAGCTATTAGGCATGGATTCATTCCTCTGTCAAAGGCTTGATTCTTCTGAATCCTGGCAGAAATGTTACTCGGCAATGATGCAAAGTTAAGATTCAGTGTTAAAAGAATAAGGAGTGTCAGATATGCTTATCAGCTTGCTAGCTTCATCGAGCAGGGTCCGCATATATCTAGATAGAAAGCCATAAGTGTGATATCCATACTACTCATAGGTATATACTGTATGTATGAGTAATCAACTTGTAGAAAATTATCAAAGCAATCATCAGACTATCGTGATCTTCAGAGATAAAATCAAGCAGTGTAGGAATGACGTAAGCTGGAGAGAGGTCCAGTGACTTCAGGTTTTCTCAGCCTTTGTGGTTCCTCTACATTTATAGAAAGGGGCACATGGCAGTGGTTTGGTGCCCTAACTAGATGGTGTGTGCACAATCTTTGTAAATAACACGGACGCATGGGTAGACCAGCGATATGAGGCAAGAGCGAGGATGAGGGATAGGTGAACCTACAGCCAGTCGCTCTGAATGCACACCCTCGCTCTAGGCGCCGCCCATCGAAGCATGAAGGAAACTTCTTATTTGAGACCTGAAAGGAGTTTTCTTCTACAGCAGATGAGAAAGGAGTCTTTTAGAGGGTATAAACTAGAAACAAAACCATCATGTTGAGGGCACCTATGTCACATAACCGGCACTTTTCGTAAAATTTTCAAGTTTGGAACACACCATAACAAATAACACCGAGGATTTTGACAGTGGAACTGACATGCTGGACTGGCACGTCAGAACCTACATGGCATGATTACGTGGACACTGTGCTGAGCTACGAGTGGACCCCATCTGTCAGCTTTCTTGTACCCCATATCTTCTCCTTTCTTCTCCCTTTTACCCTCTTTCTATTTCTCTCTATCTAGAAATCCGTTCTATGTGCACAAACCCACTATTGTGATGCAAATGCTAGTGCTGGTGGGCACCTTGCCGGAGGCCTGGGCACCTCGGTCACCACCAGCTTTGAGCCTTTGATGTGCCATCATCCTAGCTTACAGCAGGTGGCGAGAGATGGAGGATATGTCTGTGGAGTGGGGTTCCTGGTGTTGATCCACACCTCAAGGTGGCGGCATATGGCCCGCTGGTGGCCGAGATATCATCAGCTCCTATGTCAAAGACTAAACAGTCTGTGGAGAATCATTTACTAGACTCACATGCTAAGCAAGAACGTGCCAATACCCATTTGCGGTCGAAATTCAGTGCAGCCCATGCTTCCTTGGACATTCTATTGAACACGGCTAACATTGACTTGTAAATTATCCTAGAAGTGATTGATCTTTAAGATTTGGCGGTCTGTCCTTAATTTTACGGTAATGCTAACTGGCGAACGTTCGTCGGGAAGGAACTCCCAGCAAACGCCCTCGCAGCCGTTTGATCGAGATCAAATGATGGCAGTTTTGGGGAAAAATTGCCTTCTCTAAGAAGAAATTGACATGCTAGTCTGAAGAAATTGCCACCCCCTACAACTAAAATTGCCATCGAAATCGTTCGCAATTGCCATCCTTCCCAGCGAACGTTCGCCAGCTAAGAGGGTCCTTATTTTATCAAGTATAGTACTCCCTCCGTTCCTTTATATAAGGCTGAACGAGGGCATGTTTGACCGAGTTTATAGAAAAATATATTAATATTCACGATATAAAATTTATATCATTTGATCCATCATGAAAAGTAGTTTCATATTTGATCTAATAGGTATTACAGATGCTGTTATTTTATTCTATAATCTTGGTCAAATATTCTAAGGGTCTGTCTAGAACTCAGTCGATTGAGACTTAACGAAGTCTCGGTCGAGTGACGTCAGTGTAGTTGTTTTTGCTGCAAGCGGCATGGCCTGATGCTACAAATGATGATGAAAAGAGTTGCGACGGTTTTGCAAACAACGGCAACTGATGATGCAACAGGTGTGACTAAAATGCTACAACCGTCAATGACGGATGTTACAACCGGTGAAACGATGTGCTACAATCGATGAGCGACAACATGCTACAAACAACAAGACGGATGCTGCAACTGATAGGGAAAAAAGTTGCAAACGTTGGGACAAAATGTTGCAAGGTCGACTGTTAAATCTCAATCGACTGAGTTTTAGCAAGCCCGATATTCTAATGGCTGACTTACACGGAAAACAATACACCTTATATTGTGGAACAGAGGAAGTAGTAAATAAGTTTCTGTACATTCACAGTTTGACTTGACTAACTTGCTTACACAAATTGCAGCTCATGTCACACGCGCATGTTTATTAATTACTCCCTCCATTCCTAAATATAAGTCTTTGTAGGAATTTCACTATGGACCACATAGTGAGCAAAATGAATGAATCTACACTCTAAAATGCATCTATATACATTCGTACGTGGTTCATAGTGAAATTCCTACAAAGACTTATATTTAGGAACGGAGGGAGTATCATTTTGTTCCCACCTGACTACATCATTTCATGTTTCTGTTTTTTTCTATCATTTACGTTTAGTCTCTCTTGAATTGACCAGAAAGATAAAATTCATAATCAGAAAGCGTGAATCGCATGAATGACAAAGGACCCACATCCCAAATTCCAAAATGAAGCCCAAGAAGGCAATATAAGAAGAATAGGAGACAGGAGCCAAAGTAACACAAATGCCAATAGCAAGCAACAGCATGTTTTGTGTGATCGGACGCACTAAAAAAGCATGTTTCATGATTTGGATTTGAGTATTTCTGCCTAGAATGTACCTTCCAAGGCAAGCCACAGAAAAATACAGTTGGGGAAGTAGATACTGTGAAGAAATAAAGACTGGTAATGGGAACGGAAACATGCATGGGCGCATGAAAAAAATGACTTATTTACACAATATTGCAAGAACATATTGTACAACCGTCCATGCATATAAAAATGCAACCGGAGCTTGAAGTTCGTAGCAGAGCTTGCTTGCTGAGGGAGCTGCTTACCTTGGAAGAGAGGAAAGTGGTCGTGCATCCATTACCATGGCAGCACAGCCGGGCCCTTTGACCCAATGGCCATGGCACTGGATGGGCAGCTTCAAGGTATGTCACATCTTGTCTGCACTTTACGTGCTACTGTCCGTTTGGAGTTCCTCTCTGATATTTGTTTTTGGTTCAGAAAAGTAGGACATAATGTTTTATTTTATCTAGCTAAATTCATGTTCACAAATTTAGGAACATCGTATGATTGAGCGACCAAAAAATAAACTAACTACTTCAATGAGGTCATTCATATATTTATATATTTCCTTCAAAAAGTATGCATTAAAATAAAGTTTTATACGCACCATAATGTCCCAGTACTGAAGCCAAGTGGAACAGGAATTGCAGTAAAAGTTGCATGTCGCAGTGAACACTCAAGACTATTCTGTTATCAATTAAATAAAACTACCCTGTATTTTGAATTGTAAATAGTATATTCTAGCATAAGCGTTCCAGTCCCATGTTGCTGATTCCCTGAGTACTTTTCAGTTTTTCACATTATCCAGAAAAACTGCTTCAAGAAAAACGATGGAAGTAAACTATATTACCATTCTATTATGCTCTGACTCATTTAAAAACACACACAAGAAAGATAGAGAGGAAGGGGACCTTTGACAAATTCCTTTGCATGCTTCTTGCACGGTGGATAGCGACCAGAGTATGATAACATAGGCACCGGTAAAATCCCTGATAGCAGCAATCAAATCATAAAGATGTATTGCTGGGCAGCTCATGCCATTCTCATGAAACCTTGAACCGTTTGCATTCATTGGCCTTGTGATCCTAATATGAACCACCGACAATAGCTTTACTTTTCACGTAGTTCACGTACATAATAACCAACTAAATGGACATACACAAACCTCCTTTTCTCTTCAAAACGTAGAAGTTTTCAAGCTTGAAGCCACGGCAATAGCTTCCGAACAATCAAAGATCTGATTACCACCTGCTATACACCGCTGATTAATTCCCATCCCTCAATGTCACATGATACTCTAACCATGCACTGCAAGCAGTACCTGGTCTTCGCACCTGCGGCATTGCACACTGCGCACAGGGTGGTCACCAGTGGGTGGGGAGACATGGATACAGCATACGCCGCCATGCTACCAGCTCTGCTTCTGAGGATGATCCACAACCAGATCTGGATCAGCTTGTCTCGCCACCAAACCGCACGCAGGAAGCACATCATCGTTGACCGCGGTCTTGAATTCGAGCAGGTGGACCGGGAGAGATCCTGGTAAGTCATATATGCGCACATCCTGCTATTCACTTCTATCACACTCAAATTAACTGGCACATACCTGAAATACAATGGTCCATCACAATCGAATGCTAAAATATGCTATCTGTGTGTAATGCTAAGTTGTCCTTACCACTCTGTACAGGGATGACCAGATCATCCTCTCTGGGCTGTTCTTCTACTTGGGTTATGCAGCCATACCGAGTACCAGATTCATGCCAATGTGGGAAACAAAGGGAGCCATCATCATGGCGTTGCTTCACATAGGACCTGTTGAGTTTCTCTACTACTGGTTCCACAGGGCGCTGCACCACCATTTCCTCTACTCTCGCTACCACTCACACCACCATGCCTCCATCGTCACAGAGCCCATAACCTGTAAGTAGTAGCATTCAGAATAGAGGGTTAACATCATGATGAATAGTTCCACCATCTTTAAGAACAAACAGTGGACCACACACAAAAAAGCATTTCATCACTAGTGGCATTAAGTTCACAAGTGTCTAGATTATGCATAGCAAACAATTTGGCCAATTTGTGATATAAAAACTGACAAAACCACTATTTTTTTAAGATAAGTGACATCTGAAAGCATCTGCACATGTTACAATATCCATTCTGATTCCAGGAGCATAAGGAATTCAAAGCATAGATATGTCCAAAGAAAAACATAGAAGTCTCATGGACAACATTCTGAGACTAAAAATATTGTTCGGAAATAAGGTGTTACCATCTTGGTCTTTCCAAAAAAAAAAAATCCAGTTCAGATTTCTCTACATGTTCTATTGCTTAATGAATCGCCAAGTGCTTGCTACGTTAACAATTAGTGTTCTGTTTTGCAGAAAGCTTGTTGATGTGGTATTTATGAAGCTAATGCACAACTCTCTTTTAACCTAATGAAATTTTACCATATGATTGGCAGCTGTCGTTCATCCATTTGCTGAAATCTTAGCTTACTTCCTCTTATTCTCGATCCCCATGCTGATACCAATTTTTATGGGATATGGTTCTATCCTGGGCATTGTCCTATACCTGGCTTACATCGACTTCATGAATAATATGGGACACTGCAATTTTGAGATGCTCCCAAAGTGGATCTTCCAAGTTTTCCCTCCTCTGAAGTATCTCATGTATACTCCATCGTAAGTACAAACATTTTAAGCTCAACCTTACAATCATGTTAACATGCAATTAGGTGATAGAATTTGGGTCCCTTATATTCTTAACAAAATTTACCAGTCGATTCTACAAACAATGCACAAAAAGTTAAAATGGTTAGTCATAGCTTCATAAAACTACAAACCTAATTATTCAAAGGTATTTTTCACATCTCCACAGGTATCATTCTCTCCATCATACACAGTTTCGTACAAACTACTCATTGTTTATGCCGTTCTATGACTACATATACAACACCATGGACAAGTCAACTGACGAGCTGTATGAGAGAACACTGATTGGAAAAGAGGAAACACCAGATGTTGTTCACTTGACGCATATGACCACCTTGCAATCAACTTATCATCTAAGGGTTGGGATTGCCTCTATAGCCTCTAAACCCTCAGATAACCCTGTATGGTATATGTGGATGATATGGCCAATGGCATGGCTGTCAATGGTACTGGCATGGGTTTATGGATCCGCTGCATTTGTCGTCGAAAGTCTCAAACTGAAGAAGTTCAAGATGCAAACATGGGTGATACCAAGATACAACTTCCAAGTAATTGGTTTTCCGCGTTGTATGAATCTTATGGCTTAATAGTTGCAAATTGATAGGATTTTCTCCATGTGCAGTATGGCCTGATTAGGGAGAGGGAATCCATCAACAAGTTAATTGAGATGGCAATATTAGATGCGGATGGAAGAGGGGTCAAAGTGTTCAGTCTTGGACTCTTAAATCAGGCATGATGACCGAACTTTTCTTGCGCAACTCCCTCTTTGTACTTGCTTCCACATGACACTAGCTTCTGATGCATGTTAAGTGACATGTTGCAAAAAGTCAAACACATTCTAATTTCACACAAATGGTCAGCACAAAGATATTA